CAAAGAAATTGTAAATTGTTAATTGTTTAAATTAACTGTTAGTAAACCTAAAATAATTGTCACGTAAAATTAACTAACTAAATTCGCTTAAATTCTTTAACATAAAAAGCACTAAAAACTTCCCAGTTGACGAATTTCCGTTAAAAATACTGGATTTAGAAAATCTGATTGCTTTCCGTCTCTGTCAATGAAGCACTTAAAAATTTCTTTTTGTCTTGTTTTGGGCAAGGTTAATGTAAGCGTCGTATAACATCAACCTTGACGAATGATAGCGATAGTCGATTAATCACGTTGAATCTGTCGGGTCATGTGTCAGGATTTGCGTTTTTTGGTATGTGCGAGTGAGGAAGAAAACATTAACCACCCAAAGGTCACGAGCATTTATAAGATCCGACGATGGATAATTTTTGATAAAATGCAGCATAACAGTTTCTAGGAATTCACCTTATATGGGGATGCTTTTTGGTGCAATCGAACGAAAGGAATGAATAAAGTTCGTAAAAGGCAAAATCACTTTATAAATTAAGCGATTTTTTATTAAGCCTATAACATATGGCCTTAAAAACACATTTTAGCAATTTTAATAACATTGCAAGCATTTTAATAAATTGGATATATAACTAAAATGTAAAATAAAAACTTAATTATTAAAAAAGGCGTTTAGTGATTTTAAATCGCCCGGTATGTTGAACAATTAAAACTGACAAAAATCGAATTATAACTCAAATATTTTTTGCCGAATGGCAACATTCTGTTTGCTTGTTTCTCTGTATGGGTGCTGCAAAGTTCACGAGATGTATCTGCTTGGGGAAGAGATGTCTTTGCGGAAATGTTTCGGAGGAAAACTGACTCGGTTTATGGTAACACATTAAGAACTGATTAAACGGAAGGCTATGAAGAAGATAAAGACCTTGCTTTATTTTTAGTGGCAAGGCTTGTAGTCATTAGGATTTTTTTAAAAGCAAGCAAAGATGAAAAATATGCGACCGCCTTCGCCGGGAATCGAACCACGGACCTCTGGATACCGGCCCAGTGTGCTACCGTTACACCACGAAGGACACGCTAATAAGTGGGAGAAATACCTTATAGGCTTGCCAAGGCGATGCAATGATGTTCGATAGTTGGGTTGGTTTGGTTTGGTTTAGTTGACTATCGCAAATCACACTAGGGCTATCAGCCTATGGGAAAAGATCCATTCGCGGAGGGCTTTTTAAGGGAAAGTGGCTCGTATACACGTTACACACGGTGAAAATCGCGAAAAACCCATGGAGACAGCCCGTACGTTTGGCATCGAGCCCATCACGGTAATGGAGAAAAACGTAACTTAACAGATGAAATACTGCAAAACGATTCCATTTCTAATGTTCCAAAAGGGTATTTTTTAGAAAAATGTACACTCTAACAAAGCAATGATTAAAGTCATTTCTGGAAAACATGTCTTTTCTAATTTTATTTATAGATTTCATATAACCATTATTATTAGTTTACAAATTTAATATTTAGAACTGAAGAGCAAGAACTACTTTTATTAGTATGTTAAGAGATAAAATATCTACTCTTTGAACATTAAAAGTTTTGGAAACTTGCAAGAATTGCCTCCTAAGCATAAATCTAACAAATTTTGCGTGAGGATTATAGTTTCGATGGCTAAACAAATCTTTCTTCCTCAGCTACGGAAGCGAAAATGACAAAAAAAAAAAAAAAAAAAAAAAAAAAAAAAAGAAGCGTATGCCTACATTGCCTACATGGCGAGTATGAGACTTTAATGTCAAGAAAAAAGAATTTCTATTGCTCATAATCATTAATCAAGAAAATAATTATATATATATATATATATATATAATAAACCCCGTCTTTCGTTGGTAAAATAGATTGATTCAGTCGTTTCTCATCCAAACAAAAGTCTTTCAGTTCTGGCAGATAATCCCAATTTATCGTCAGCTTTCCCAAAAAGTGGTTTCTTAGTCACTTTTCGTTAACTTTTCGGCTAACAGATGACGCCAACGCCTTCGTTTTCTTTTAGAATATTCTCGAATTTCTCTCCGTTGTTCTCAAACATATGTATATATATTTTGTTATGCTCACTCTATCTGAGAAGTAAAATTTTATTTAACCTTCGAAACCAGATTTCTGCAAATTTCCTCAGATTAAGCCCATTTCTGTTGCTTATTATTCGTTGCTTCTTCAGCATTTATTCCTAAGCAATTAGCAGTTCACTGTGTACAATTTGATAAAAAAATTCTAAGTCAACTAAGTTTTAATCCCATCAATAAAATTTCAAAAAGACTACTAATGCTAAATTTATTATTAAAAGCATTCGGTACAAAACTAAAACTCTTAACTTAGTGTAACAGCTTTACTAAAAAAGATTTGTTTGGGACATCAGTATTATAGTAATCTTAATGTAATGTAAACAGCATGAATTTTATCAGAATTTCGGGAAAAAAATTTTTTTTAAATAAGTTTTAAAATATTAAAAGTAGTTTTAAAAATTACTTAAATACAGTTATTAGATTTTAATGTTAGCTCCTAGAGGAGATTTTAAATAACAGAATTAGTTTTAGACTTTACCAAAATTTAGATTAATTCAGTTTTAAAACTAGTTTCTGAGCAAAGCTTTCATATTAAATAAACGCATTTTACTCACGTAAAAAAGAATTTTATAAATTTTGAAACGAAGATGAACTTTCTTCCTTCTCTGTTGCTTTATTTGATCTAAAAGAAATCAGGTTCTTTCATTAACGTAGTATGTATTTGTATGAAAAAATTAATGTTATTTGATATGTAGGAAAATCCCTTGTAACCGGACCCAGTTTATCAGCAATATGAAAATAGCGGTTCTTCTGAAAATCTATATTTAAATCTGAAATTTAAGCTTATGAGATAAAAAAAAAGTATATAATGGACTAACAGTCTGAAGAATTAAATTTTGAGAACATTTAAGTTATGTTTCTGCCGCACGGTGTTTCAAGCCTTTTCCAACTAGTGAATCAAGGAATTATCCAAGACATAAAAAATTAAGTATCCCTTTTTATGCGTCCATGTGTGAACTTTGAAAGCAGTGTCCATGATTTTTCAAAAACAATTCACTCTGAAGAATACTATATTTACTTTATCCCTTTCCTGGAAGGATATAAAGCATATATTTTACTTCGCTGTTGGTGTAAACTGTGGCCTATGATCATATCAATAGATGACGAATCGAGTGACAAAGATTCTTTTGGTTGTAAAATACGTATAGTGCTCGTGCCAGACATCTCGAATTTACTTCCAGATTCAGAGATGATTAGAGTTAATAAAGATAAGGTGCAGGCTTGGATGGATCTAACTAGATAATTCTATCTCTGTTACACTCTCTCAAGATGAGAACGAAACAATCGGATATGTATTGGGAAAAGAGGAAGATAATGAGGAGCCAGGAGGTGAAGATAAAGACGAGGCGCAGAGCAAGAATATTACATGAAAGCTGACAAAGAGTTCCAGGCTTTCATAAGATATCCCAAGAAATATTCATATTATGCTCGTACATGATGTTATGAAGCTTCATTCTAAGCACAACGAATTTTTTAAAATCACCGCGACAATATTATAAGCAGTTAGACATCCGAGACAGGTTACAGCCGAAAACATCGCGGCAAAAACATCGCAGACAAAAATGACGCGGAGAAAACAACGCAAGGCGAAAACGTCGTGCTACAAAACATCGTGGGAGAAAACATCGCAAAGAGAAAACATCGCAGTTCTAAAACATCGTGGTACAAAAACATCGTCGTCGAAAATAAAGCGGTTCAAAAACTTCGCAGTTTAAAAACATCGTCGTCGAAAATATCGTGGTAAAAAATAAAGTATCTACAAATCATCGCATGACGATAACATCGCAGACATGCTTTTTTCGGCATCTTTAATAATGTAAATGGATATTCCCATAATGATTGTGAGCGCAAGATGGAAAGAAGGATAATTTTTACTTTTTCATATTTTTTATTAACTAATAAATTTTTGCTGAGAAACAAAAAGGAAACTTAAGCATAAAAAATTAATTGCAACTTATAGCACTTAATAGAATTTTAAAACCGACATAGTAACTAACAAAGGCCATTAATAAATCATTTTTATAAGTTTTACTGGTAATTTTCATGAAAAGTATAATCTATAAGTTACATTTAATTTTCTATGCTTAAGTTTTCCTTCTTACGTTTTCAGCAAAATTTATTAGTTAATAAAAATATGTGAAAGTAAAATTATCCTTCTTTACACCTTGCGCTCACAAATCATTATGGGAATATCCATTTACAATTATTAAAACCTGAAAAAAGCATGTCTGCGATGTTATCGTCATGCGATGATTTGTAGATACTTTATTTTTACCACGATATTTTCGACGACGATGTTTTTAAACTGCGATGTTTTTGAACCGTTTTATTTTCTACGACGATGTTTTGTACCACGATGTTTTAGAACTGCGATGTTTTCTCTTTGCGATGTTTTCTCCCACGATGTTTTGTAGCACGACGTTTTCACCTTGCGTTGTTTTCTCCGCGACGTTTTCGTCCACGATGTTTTTGCCGCGATGTTATCGGCGGACACCCCGAGACAATATGGCACAATATTAAGAAATTCTTTATTTTCATGCGATAATAAATACTGTAATTTTAAAATGTTATTTATTATTTTTTGTGAAGTATAAAATCATGTTATGAGTTTTAACATTTAATAATCTGTACGATTTTCCGTATTATTTATTTAATTTTGGCAGCTAGAATAAAAACTCTGCCGACGAAAATAAAAACTATCAACTATCCAGAAAAACCTTTTATCCCAAATTAGCGCCATTTCATTGATGAGGCGAGATACAGAAATCGGGAGATACAGAAATTTTTACTGATTTTAGCATATATCGATATCCTACCATTTAATAAATTTCAATAAGACCACAAGTTTAAAACTAGCCTTTTTCACTCATGTCTTATTTAGTATTTCTTCGCCCATTTTATTTCCAGATTACTTAAGTAGCTTGGATGAAGAGCAGCAAGCAAAAATAACAGGTGAAGTGGAGGAACTGGAAGGTAGCGGATCGGATGATAGACAGCAAGATGCAATAGACCTTAATTTACCCCTCAGAACAGGTAATATAAGACTTTTGTGAATGCTTATCATTTCTTCTGCCAGGGGAAAGATAATGCAAATAGAAATATTGTTTTTTATGCATATCACTCAGCGAAATCCAAATCGTTGCTTTGCTTGAAAGGTTTCGAGCTTCAAAAATGGGTATGAACTTGTTACATTCAAACAGTTTGTTAGTACTAGGCATTACAGCAGCGATTTTCAAGTGAATCAATCTCAAGGCGCACTAAAGTGCCGCGGTACAGCAGTGATTCTCAACTGCTGTACCACGGCACTTTAGTTCGTCTTGAGATTTTTGAAGCATGCCATCAAATTTTACGAATGGATGCAATAAAAATTATTTTGTATGTACTTATACATAGTATAACCGTTTTTATGCAAAGCAAAGTTTTTTCCTTACATGGTAGGTGTATGATTTCTTATACATTAACGTCGCGAGACGCCACTGAGAATACTCATACATAAGTTCCAGATAAGTAATTCAATATGTTCTAACTCCTTAGCGCTGAACCAGTCGCAACATATCTCGAACTCGATGTTTTAACCAAAACGCAGAACTTTTAATCCTGAACTCACCGAAAGAAACCAAAACAGCAAATTTGAAATGCGCATGACTGTTACAGTTGTGTATTTAACTCAAACAAAGCTATACCTGTCATATCAGCGAATATTATGCATCGAGAAAAAACTTCAAAATGAATAGTATGTATAGTAGAGAGAAGAAGTATAGTATAGTAGATTAGAGTACGAAATGTATAGTAGAGAGACGAAGATGGATATTCTGCCTTCTGCCTCCGTGCATGAAGGTTGCTCTATCTTAGCTCTCGTGGCGAGCCATGATCGTAAGTTGATTAGCGATGCTCTTCCTCCGGAAAATTTCTTTTCCGATTGGAGTGCGCAAGCATAATTTGCAATTAGCTAAAATTAATAATACTGCTAAAATTAATAATTAAGCTAAAATTAAAATTTGCAATTAGCTAAAATTAATAAATTAATTTCCTAATTTGCAATTAGCTAAACAATTAATCTTTGGCATTGTCGATAACAAAATCGACAATGTTAAAGAGATGAAGCTTCAGTTAGATGCAAATCGACCTGTCTCTGCTCCTAATAAATACACTGAAATTATTGTGAAGAACATTTGGGACCTCAAGAAAGAAAAGGAATATCTCACGGGTAAGCAAGAATTTTATTATCTCAGTGTGCTAACGTCCCCCCTCCTAACCCTTCTAGTAATAATAATATTAACGTTTAGAAAAAGATAAAAACACGATATTTCTGATTACTCAGATGATAATACTAATTAAGATGATAGTTTTATTAAACCCACTCGCGTAGATAAAATAGGGAAAAAAGATTATATAACTAAGGATACTATTAGCACAAAAAATAAATTTAGCCCCTTAAACCAAGTTAATTCTAACAATAATTCAGCTACCGAAAATAACGTCTATACTCAATCTGAATCTTTCGAGAAACAAACACCTCTAACACCAAAAGAAAAGCCAGTTCCCCTATAATGGTTAAACCACCAGCTAACATTAAACTAAATATTTACGTAAAGCAACTCGCTAATCAATCCTCAGCAAAATTCTTTAGCAAAGTCAGTGGTGAATTTCTATTTCCAACTCTTCAGATGATCAAAAGCACTCACCAGATATCTCAAGGCGTATTCTATTGAACACTATCTTATCAAAGCACAACATAAAAAACCGATCAAAGTAGTCATTCGCCGATTACCTATAGATACTGACACCTCAGAAATAAGTGAAAATTTTATCAGATATAAGCTACCCAGTACACAAGGTAGTACAAATGACATGAATATGCACCCGCCAGCCTATGCCACTAACATGCTCCTTCCTACACCTAACATTGAAAAACAATGATATCACACATATTTCACTTTTCATCGTTCAAGTTCAAAGATACACAAACAAAAATCTCATTCCACAATGTCACAATTGCCCAAAATGGCACCACTCCTCAGAAAACTGTTTCCTTATGCCACGCTGCGTGAAATGCGCAGGAGAATACAAAATTTCACTTTGTCCAAAAAAAAAAAAAAGATTTATCGAAAACCCAGTTTGTGTAAGTTGCAGTAATTCTGACATGGCCTCATAACATAGATGTTTAAAATTCCCAAAACCCAGAACAAATAACCCCACGAACAGAGAAAACTCTTTTTAGAAGTACTCGCAAATAAACCTCAGAAACCAGACTCCCAGCAAAAGCATAATACAAAACCAAATCAACCTAATCAAATACTTATTATCCCTAAACCAAATGATGTTCAAAATCCTACAAATAACTCTACCTCAGTTGGCCTACGTCAGGTAGGCCAAGATGCAAATTGGAAAGCAGTTCTTGAAGACACTCCTACGAGAAATGGGTTAGAGCTCGTTTCTACGACAACAGCTGCAGACTGTCAGTCTATCAAGAGCTTACATTGTGTTAGACAGACGGTAGTCGCCCCTTGATGTGTGCGTAGGATTAGGTTTCAGCTTTCATATTCGCTTTGGCATCTGCAATAGAAACAAACTGTATTGTCAAACTTAATTAAAATGAATTCAAAGGTAATATGTTATATCCCAATGGATAATATATATTAATTTTTTGACAAAATACTTTTATTTTAGAATAAATTTGTAAAATGAACAAATGGATAAGAAAAAGAAAAACTTAACGACGTTAACGATGATGTTAAGGGCCGTTCCCCACACTGGGGTTTATCTCAGCTAACAGACAACTAACGTAGCCGACCCATCTCCAAAACTAGTTATTTCCCATAGGGCAGCAAGTTGAAAAATCTGAACTGCAGGCATAGCGGAGCTAGTCAACACATAGAACTGATTCCGTTAGCTCAGATAAAAACTAGTAGGAACCACCTTTTAGAGATAAAGCTTAACGAACAAGAGCCCAGTACAAGTAAAGATGTCTCCTCTTCCAGAAAAATGCAATGTTCATCGCAAGTATATTCACAAATTCTGAAAATCTAGATTTACATATACAACGGAAAATGATTAAACTATTCCCGAGTGTGTGGTATGTAGTTGTGAATTATCCAAAAATGCTATGTTTTTCAGCAAGCCACAATATCACTTGCTAGTTAATCCTTCTTCATTTGCATCAGAAGACAAAAGTTGCTTTCAAAAATCAGTATTTATCAGATCCAAACACGTATAGGTTTTTGGAAAGCAATTTAGTGTATTAATTAAAAAGCTCAGCTAGCTTATTATAAATTGCCTGAATCAATTTCTCTTAAATTAAAACCTTATAATTTGGCTGAAAATTTATATTACTTGCTTGTCGTAAACCTGTAAAACTGGTGAATTAAGCAGAAATTCCTATTTGTAAAACACGACTTTCAAATGTCATGATTCATCGCGTGTTTAATTATATCATCACGAAAATTATTTAATTAATCAATCTTTATGTTGTCGTGAATAATCTGTTTTCACAACAGGAAAACGTATTCCTATTTACAAGAAATTAAAATTTTGCAGAATTTGTACATTGGCATCTGCACAGACGGTGACTACATGATACGGTGACAGTACATGACTGAATATATTATTTACCCATTATTTTTTGCATCAGGAAACGCTGATTACAAAATAGTTACCATCAGAATTGAAAATAGTTCTGGAACAATGTACTATTAAAATGATTAATTATAGAAAATCAAAATCATTAATAAAAACGCCTAATTAGTCAATTGTGCCATGCTATGGAGCCTGAATACGAATCCTTGTTACGCAGAATTTAAGGTGGTTGTCCAAAGAGAAAGTTGTATCTCGCGTGCCTAAATTGAAAATCTGATGTGTACACCACATGACTTTCCGTTACGGAATATTAAATTATTCGCTGTTTTCCTGCATTTCATTTAAACATATTGAATTAACAGTTAATGAATTTTTAATTAAATCTACTTCGTCGATAGCGCATAAACCACAATAGAATAAATGCACTCTTTAAAGTTCACTATATTTATTTACTATAGGGACACTTCGCCGCTAGTTTCACTTAACAGCGTTACATCTGATTTATTTTTTAACCCAGAATGTACAAAAAATTATCATCTGAAGAATTACCACAAGTTCTATCCAAATATTATAATAAATCTTAAACGATGCATAAAAGAAAGTAAACAAATAAAAAAGAAACAGTTTTCCTCTCAGACGAATCAGCGCTGCTTACTTAATGCGCATGCGCTACTAATTATTTCAGTCTCACTTTGCGGCAATCTAAAAATACATAAAAATTCAAAATACTCCCATAAAAACTGAAAGATTAGAAAAACATAAAACACCAAGTACAGATAAAACAATTTAAAAAATAAAACAATTTTCACAATTAAAATTACAGTTTTTACGCAAAAACAAGCTAATAACTTAAATGATAATTACAGAATGAATTAAGCATAATTTAATTTACAATAATAAAAGAAGACTTTACTTTGTTGTTGCGAAGCTTAGTTACTCCAGATTGACACCAAATCCACTATTCTGCTTAGTTTCAAATGTAAACAAACATGGCTGCTATCGTAATCAAAAATTAGGCTTAGCCACAATTTAAAAACTTTTAAAATGTTGATAATTCCACACTTATTGCATGGAGGTTAACTAAAGGCATAAAAATCTTAATCAGAAGATAAGAACAATATAATTCAATCATTTTTAAAGCAAAAGATACACAAGTTACAAACATATAAAGAAACTGAGCTCACTAAGCCGAATAACAAAGGGGACACATATGTCCACGTATACCACTTACGTACGTACAGAGGTCATGAAAAAAATCTCTTCTGTAATCCATTTTAAATCCTTTTTGAAACCCTTTTTGAGTAAGAGTCCTTTATTTTGTCCTTACGTACAGATGTCACACCAAAATATCATTAAATTGCATTCGATAGAGGTCAAAATGTATATTTTCGTTGAAATATATTTTGACAATTACAATACTTCGTACAAGGAAGTAAAAATTACCTAATGGAAAAATA